GTAAAAAAACACCATTTTCCAAGCCCAGTGAACCAATGGGTCTAGGCATTGAGCATCCACAGCCCTACCACCAAAATATCAAAGTAAAAACCAGACTTATGTGTCTACATAGCCTTGTCAACAAGATCAAACGTGACCCTGATTAAGCAGCCTCTGGATCCAGCCACCAATTTGCAGAAAATGCAGAGAAGAGCAGAACCTGTTCAACTACACTATGAGTGTACAATTAACAAAACTCAAACTGTTAGAGACTTTGCAGGTCCAACATGCTAGGTTTTTTTAACAGACACATTGTGAGGAAGATAAAAGGAGAGAAGGGGAACCTGTAGATTAAAAGTGACTTAAAAGGCAAAAAAAAAAAGACTTAAAAAGGTATATGAAGCCAGAAATAACAACAGGCATGACTAAAGTGACAGGGATAAATACTTAGGTGAAAAGTCATAAAGAAGAGAATATAGTTATTAGTATAAAAGTCAGGATGGTAGGCATATTTGGACAGAGGAAGACTGTGATTAGGGTGGGCTACACACAGGGGCTCCTGGGGTGGCTAGCAAAGTTCTTTTTTTTTTTTGTCCTAGGTGATGGTTACAAGGGTATTTGCCTTATAATAATTCCCTCAGCTATAAAAAAAATTAAGTTGTTGAAGGAAAGCACATTCTTGGGGCACCTGGAGAAATGTGAATATGAACTGTATATTAGGTAATGAATGTTCATTTAAACAATGAAATGTTAATTCTCCTCGGTACAATAATACTGTGATTATATATAAGACAAGTTCTTTAGAAATACATGCTGAAAGTGCAATGATATCTACAATTAACTCTTAAATGGTTCAGAAAAATAAAATACAAGTGTGTGTGAGCACCCACGCATGTATAAAAAGATAAAGCAAATGTAGCAAAGTATTAATTGGTGAATCTAAGTGAAGGTATAGTCATTGTACTCTTGGGGCGACTTTCTGTAGTTTTGAGATTTTTTTTTTCAAAATAAAAATTGGGGAATAAAGTAAAACCACACACATGTGCATGCACGCATGCACAAATGATTTTAAAGCCAGCTGACTGGCAAAAATGGAAACAACCACTTTGGAAGCCTACTTGGCACTATCTAGTAAAACTGATGTGCAGGCCCCATGAATCAGGAATCCCAGCCTTGAAAAACTCTTAATAAACCATGACACATGCACAAAAATGCTCCCAGGTGTGTGTGCAACAATAATATAATGAAAACTGCCCAATTAGCCAATGGCATGGGCATTTTCCCACAAAGATACATGAGTAGTCTACAGCAGTGAAAATGAATAAACTACAACCATACATAACCAATAAACATAATGTTAAGGGAACAAAAGTTATAAAATAATACGCATGGAAAGACTTCCTCTAGATAAACTCTATGTATTGATTTGCTTTTTTAAAGCTAGGTATCTTTTTGAAAGATTTTATTTATTTTAAGAGAGAGGGAGGGCGAGGGAGAAAGAGAGGGAGAGAAACATCAATGTGTGGTTGCCTCTCGCGCACTTAACTGGGGACCTGGCCTGCAACCCAGGCATGTGCCCTGACTGGAAATTGAAGCAGTGACCTTTTGCTTCGTAGGTCAGCACTCAATCCAATGAGCCACACCAGCCAGAGCATATTTGTTTTTGATATATATTTATATTATAAAAGCAAGCTCAACTATGGTCTATTCTATTCTAATATTCTATTATATTCTGTAACACTGTAGCTGAGCCTGTCTTTTATACTTGTTTTTGATATATATTTATATTATAAAAGACAAGCTCAACTACAGTGTTTTAGAATATGCATGTATGTGGTTAAACTAAGAAGTTTACAGAAAAACAAGGGAATGAAAAACAAGACTCTGGGGGCATGGAGGAGCCCATGCAGAACTTAAAAGGCATGGTAATTTCCCATTTTTAAAGGTAGATGGGTGATTGCTACATGTGTGGTCGTTATATTGTTTGATTTTAAACTGTATATATATAGTTGATCCTTGAACATGGGTTTGAACTGTGTGGGTCCACTTACATATGATTTTTTTTTTAAAGATGTTATTTATTCATTTTAGAGAGGGAAGGGAGGGAGAGAGAGAGAGAGAGAGAAACATCAATGTGCGGTTGCTGGGGGTTATGGCCTGCAACCCAGGAATGTACCCTGGCTGGGAATCGAACCTGGGACACTTTGGTTCCCAGTCCGCGCTCAATCCACTGAGCTACGCCAGCCAGGGCTTACATATGATTTTTTTCAATAAATTCCTGTACTATTGGGATCAGAGGATGGGTGTCTGTGGATGTGCAGGCCGCTGTAAGTCTTGATCTATGCCATTTCCAATAGAAGACTTGAACATCCACAGGTTTCCGTGTCCTTGGGGGGTCCTGGAACCAATCTCCCACAGATACCAAAGGGCAACTAAGTTTGTGGTAAGTCAAAAGTTATACATGATTTGACTATGTGGGGGGTTGGCTCCCCTAATCCGTGTTGTGCAAGGGTCAACTGTACATTATATGTTCTGTTATCTCACAGAAAAACAAACCTTAGACCACCCTATGATGACAGTATTTCTGGATACACTCATCTTTGCTTCACGGTTCTGACAAGAGTTCACTTTAGCTGAAGCACATCAATTCCTCTTAACTGACCAATGATTAAACTGAAAGGCAACCTCGTCCAAACTGTATTGGTACAGGACTCAGTGCAAACACTTAGCATTTCTAAAAGGGAAAAGGGATGTGGCAGAGTAGAAAAATGCCCCAAACTCATTTAAGGTCTTTGAGAGTAATACAACTCCACGGGAAACAATAAAATTGAGAATTGAGCCATCATTCATACCACTTAAAATTCCTGGGCCTTCTTTTAAACAGAGTATCTACAAATTTCTTTGTTTACAAAGCTAAATCATGTATATCTGTTACACCATTATAATATAAATAGTTATGAATTAAATTGCATCTAATAGAGATTGATCACTGAGGCCTGACTAGAAAACCATTCTTTTTTTTTTTTTTTAAATATGGAACGCTTCACGAATTTGCGTCTCATCCTTGCGCAGGGGCCATGCTAATCTTCTCTGTATCATTCCAATTTTAGTATATGTGCTGCCGAAGCAAGCACAGAAAACCATTCTTCAGACAAGCTAAGAAACAAACAAAAATCGCCTTCATAAAGTGTCTCTCGATTTCTTCAAAGAGATCGTCGTTCCTGAGCCCTAAACGATTCCTGTTTCAGAGTAGTTTAAACCTTTGTTCTCATTAATAAAGCAAACAAACAAAAAATCACTGAAACTCACAAAACCAAATGAGGAGGGCAGGGCAGGGCAGGGGAACCAATAAACAAACAATGGCATTTCACTACGAAGTAATTCCTGAAATCTAAGAATATCAAATCTTGAATTAATAGAGCCTTCTGCTAGCTTTCATTTAAAACTTGTGCTAAATGTTTAGGTAGTCAACATTGATTTTATTACCTTCTATTGAGAACAGACAAGAAAAATATGCTTTGAGGGTAAACAAATGAAAGGACACTGAGTTCTTCAGGACTCTGACAAGGGTAAGGGCTTGGAAGAGGAGAGAAAAATGCAGAGCAACCATGAGCTAATTAGACATCTTTATTACCTTATTCCCCAAAAGCATGCAAATAAATGTGAGTAGCTTCAAAATCTAACGTTTTCGAATTATCATAAAATGCTGTTTAACTTGCATTCCAACCAGAGTCCCATTGCTTGTGCACTGGGCTGAATCAGAGCAGAGAAAACTATTTCCGAGCGAGAGGCTCCGGGGGGACCCCGCTTGGCTTTGGTGTGCATGTGTCTGCCTGACAACACAGGGAACACTCAGGACTAAGGCTGAGTTTCACTTTCCACACGTCTTTTGAGGGTTGTGTATAGCTTCCCTGACATTAGTGTTTTCTTTTCCACATAAAACTCAGTGTGGACTTAAGGAATTCTTTAAACAGGAAAGGAAGCTTCCAAAGAAAATATCAGAAATGAAAGTAAAACAATCAGTGTTTATTCTTTAAAATGGATTGCCAAAGGGCACTTGATATTAATACAGAACTTCCTCCTCAAGAATTAGTTTAAATAGGCTCAATAGAGACTAATGCCTTTAGAAACTATCAGTGCAAAAAATCAGTCCAGATATCAATAGATTACTTATGCATACAATGAGGAGGGCTTATAATTTATTCTCTAATATTACTTCCAAATTCCAGCTCCAAATTCTGGATTTTAATTTTGAGAGAGTTATTTATATTTTTTAAAGAGCATTTTGATTTGAGATGGCAGGAGTCTAAATCAACTTCTTTAAGTTCACAATGTAGAAGGTATGTTAATATAAGGATTCTAATTCTTCCTTAGTGAGTTGTGTCTCTGAGTGCTCAGAGGAGACATGATGCCTTGTTCTGTACTCATTCTTCCTTATCAGGGAAAGAGAGAAAATTCCAGCAAACACAAACAACATCCAATCAACTATGCGGCTGTGAGAAGAGATAAAAGAGGACACCCCCTTACAGTCAGTCACACAACCTCCTCCCCCTGCCTCTGGTCCCTCAGTCAGCACAGGGAATCTGGCCTGTAGCTGAGATACAGTATTGCTAAAGGAAAGAACAGGCACTTATGATAAGTGAAATAGCAAGAGCAGTCTTAGTTATCTGCCTTTTGCCTAGAAGCATAGTTATGTTCCCTTTGCCTCCAGTTTTGATAAAACTTTCATATAATATGCTATACTTTTGAGCAAATTGTAACGGCAGTAGAGTGGCACTTAGGATCTCAGACTGCTGTGGAATGCATCTGCCGGTTACTATTTACTCAGCCCTGCTGATATTAAGCAAAAGTATGGGAGACCTGTAGCCCCTCCACTAAGGGTTACCAGAGAATCTGAGAGAGCGGTGTAACAAATAAACAGAACAGACAAGACTGAGCAACAGGGTTATCAAGAATTTTACAGAATCCTGGGGAAACCACATATTTAAACCAAAGGGAAGATAATGAAAAAGATTTCTCACCTTTTGAAAGTTCTCCTTCCACAAATCTTCTATGACTATGTATCCTCGTAAACCCCAGTCATATAATTTCTCCCCACTGACCTTGAAATAAAACATAAAAGATCCATTGCTAGTCCATACATGACTGGTAAGGAAGAGAATTTTCCTTTTTCCAATATAACTCTATTTGAGCATATGACAACTATAGAAGTCTTGGGGCATATACATTAAAAACTGCAACATAAGTAAATAAAAATAAGAAGAATAGAATAAGAAGAAAAATAGTTTGATTATATATAGTTATCATTTAAAATAATCTGCTCTCAATCATGTATATATTCCAAAGTTTCCCAGTTTCAAGGAAAAAAATGTAGATCACTGCTGATGTGGGAAATTCCTAAAACTCTGCCTACCACATCTAGCACATAATAGCCAACCAAGTCACATTTTTCACCAAGCTGAAAATCATTCATTGTGGGAGCTTAGGTAAAAAACTGGTGAACCCAGTTAAGATGCTCTCAGCTTTCCCAGGTCCCCCAAAACATAAAGTCTTCGAGTTTCCATAGGGATTTTGCCTCCTAATCTGAAATCTTTTCTACAACATCCTGAGGTCCCAGAGTCAGAGAATATTTTGGGGTAGGAGGTTCACTACCTTAAAAAGGTACTTGTCCACCTTTGGCTAGCTAGCTTTAATGGCTGGAAACTTCTTTTGGTAAGTATTGAGCTTTCTTTTAAAAAAATGCTTCCAGTAATTTGCATTAATTGGTCCTAGTTATAACCAAAGATGTTGATTACTCTTCCACATGACGGTATTTCAAATTTCTGAAAAGTTATTATTCCTCTTCCTAATTTTTATAATAATTTCTCCATACATAGCATTTTAGTTTACAAAGCACATTCGCATGAATTATCTCTACTCTATTATATAATAACCCTGTGCGGTGAGTAGGCAAAGATGATAAGGAAATATTCAGAGACCAAGTGACTTGTCTAAGGTCATGGTGCTAGTAAATCCACTGGTCATTGCAACACGCTGGGTTCTTACAAGTTATATTCTTCCAGTTGCTCCAAATGTTCTTAGAATATGGTATGACATGATTCTTGGACCCACCGGGAGACATTTTGAGCATTTACCTCATATACGGTACTGTTTTTTCGCTGTTAGAAATTTCTGAGAGGAAAATAACATTCACTGTCCTTTTAATGGTTTTCTTACAGTACTTTTATCCAAATACCACTGAACAGAAAACAGAATGTGTGCAATTAAGAGGCTTGTCCAAACTCAGAGTAGTCATTAAAACACACAAACACAAAAATTTAAACTGTTAAATAGGAACCAAATGACATCAGAAAATCTTTTTCAATCACTGAAGTCTGTTTTGTTTTATTTTGGCAAAATACATTTAACATAAAATGTACCATTGTAACCATTTTTAGGCGTACAACTCAGTGACATTAAATAAATTCATTCACAATGTTATACAACCATCACCAGTATCCATTTCTGAAAGTTTTTTCATTATCCCAAACAGATCACTAATGTTTGATACCCAGTGAAAATAAAGTTAATTATTCTGCTCTGGCTTACCCTAGGTATAAAATAAAAGGCCAAACTCCTTCCCATTGACTTTAAAAATACATTACAATACAACTCAGATTTGCATCCTATTACCTTGGTTGTGAACCCAAAAGATCGTTTCCAACGTATGCTAGGGCATATAAAATTTAGAAAAGACTTCTACTCAGGGGGCAGCCACCTATGCTTCTTGACCAGCAGCCATGCCCACACTATCCATTTACTATTTAAGCCATAACAGACTAACATAATGGTAGATGACTTTTATGGCCTAGAGCAGGCAGAATGATCCCCTGTTCCTGAGCTGGAGCTGCAACAGGCAGAGGAACATTAACTATCTGCTTCCAGGACTGCTGTAAACAATGTCAAGCCCATGCTAAAGAGATCTTACTGGCAACTGCCTCCAAAGCCATCAATTTCCCACAGCTGGAGCCAATGGACTCCCACCTACAACTGTAGCATGATCCAGGAATCTAGACTCAATCCTATCATGAGGACTCCAGGGAGCTCAGTGTCATGTCGGTCTGGCTTAGAGTCCTCAGAGCCCAATTCTGGTGACGGTACAGCTGCTCCTCCTAGGACTGGGTCTCCGTGTGATATGGCACTTCCGGCAACTGGTCCTGCCCCCATAAGCTGTCCAGGAACTGAAAACCTAGAGCCTGCTTTGCTCTTGCCAGTCTTCTAAGAAACTCTGTGTCTAGCGTCCCACCAAGTCCAAATGCCACTGCCCTGAAGGAATCTAGTCCACATCAGTGGTTTTCAAATGTTGGAGTCATTGAAATCCTCTGGCGCACTCACTAAAACAGGCGGGAACCCTAACTCTCAGTGTCTGAGTCAGTAGGTCTGGGCTAGGGCCTGATAATTTTCACTTCTTTTTTTAACTCAAAAAAAATTGTTTTTGCTATTTATTTTATCCAAAAGAATGTGTTTCCCTATCACAAAAATATGATAACCCCACCACCAACAGTAGCAAAGTCTGTACAGTTACACTGATGAGGGAGTGTTCACTGGGGATTCCTGTGTCCCAAAGGTCCTAAAGGAGGAAAAGAGTAAAAGAAAAAATCCTCAAAACAAATCCAAAACCCATGATGACTTTCGGGACAGACATGACATGGCAGTTTCTGTCTCCTTTCATTCTTAGCTGCAAGTGTATTTCAGCAGGATCAAGTACAATTTAACTTAAGTAAACCCTTCATATCAACTCCAGCACCTTACCTATACCCAAACTGTTAGCAGCAATCAGCACAGGGGACTCCTATTTTCAAAAAGACACCTCAGAAAACAGTTAAGATGGATGCAGAAATAACCTCACTTGGCTGCCTTTTAATAAGCCAGAACCCTTCATCAGCAGAGACAGTAAACAAAGCAGCAAGGAAAGTGGTACCTGCAATTGCTGGTTTTAAAGCCTGTATGGAGGGAGAGGATCAAACTTAGTCAGCTGTCCTAAGCTGGACAGAGACCTCCATGTTTATGTATGATCACTGCAATTTGTAGACAAATACATTTTTCATTTGTCCACATGGTTAGTTCCTGCAGGTTCCATGAGGATTTACATTTCTAACAAGTTCCCAAAAGATTCTGATACTAGTGGTCCAGGGACCATACTTTGAGACCTGCTGGTCCAGCTGTTATGGCCTGAATTATGTCCCCTGCCAAATTCACATGGTAAAGCCTTAACCCACAATGTGACTCTATTCAGATAGGGCCTTTTAAGATTAAATGAGGTTATAAAGGGAGGGTCTCTAATCCAGTATGACTGGTGTCACTGTACGATGAGGACAAGACACCAGGGATGTGTGCACACAATGAAAAGGCATGTGAAGACACAGTGGGAAGGAGGCCATCTGCAAGCCAAGGAGAGAGGCCTCAAGAGAAACCAACTTCGCTGACACCTTGACCTTAGACTTCCACTCTCCAGAACTGAGAAAATAAATTTCTGTTATTGAAGCCCCACAGTCTATGGTGTTGTGTTATGGCAGCTCGAGCTGGCTAAGAAATCAGCTTTAGCCATGTTGCCTGCCACTGTGTTTTACTCGCCAGGATGCTCCCAGCAGAGGGGACTGTGCTCCCTGAAGGGCCCAGCAAGGAAAGCCAGGCCAGCTCCAGGGCCACAGACAAGGCATGGAGGGTCAAGCACAGGCCTGTGCCTGCAACTCAAGGAAGGCAGGTTGTGACCCAGATATGCCTGAACTGAGAATGACCCATAACTATTAACTTTAGAATTTGAGTCTCTACACATCGATGTCAACATGCATAAAAAAAAAGGTATCTTAAGTTTTCTTTAATACTCAAATTAGTGTGCATTCTCAGACCACTGAAATGATTAGAAGGAGGGCCAGAACTGAGGTATATAGTGAAGAAAAACATTTAAATTTGCTGTACTCATTTATATTTGCAAATTTTAGTCTGTTATAAAAGCTGTAAAATAAAATTAAATTAAAATAAAGCAGTAAACTCATACATACATAAGCAAGAATAAGGGACATCTTAACTTACTTGGTCTACCTTACCTGGAAAAATACGATGGCTTGTTGTGGATAATAAAGAGAGGCAGCTACTCCCATGAAACAAGGGGGATACACCAGCTTCTTTATTTTTGAACCTATTAAATAAAAGGTTGTGGACACTGTCAGATGATTCTGTCTTAACCATCTCAATTTGCCTGTATATCCAACACTAAATAAGACTTCTTTGGGCCCTGGCTGGTGTAGCTCAGTGGATTGAGCACAGGCTTGTAAACTAAGTGGTTGCTGGTTTGGTTCCCAGTCAGGGCACATACCTGGGTTGCAGGACAGGTCCCCAGTTGGGGGAACGTACTGGGCAACCACACACTGATGTTTCTCTCCCTCTCTTCCTCCTTCCCTCCCCCTCTCTCTGAAGAATAAATAAATAAAATCTCAAAAAAAAAAGAACTTCTTTGGGGCCCTGGCCAGGTAGCTCAGTTGGTTAGTGTCATTCTAATACGCCAAGGTGTGGGTTCGATCCCTGGTTGGGGCTCATACTCCTAGATTGACAGAGAATGTACTTAATAACATCAAACATATCAAAAAGAACCGCCGCATTTTCATAGCTTCAGTGAGACACAATTCATACAACTCACCTGTTTAAAATGATCAATTCAATGGCTTTTACTGTATTCACAGAGGTGTGCAACCATCACCACAATCAATTTTAGAATAATTTCATCAGTCCCAAAAGAAACCCCACATCCATTAGCAGTCACCCCCAAATCCTCCATCACCCCCAGCCCTAGGGAGACACTAATCTCCTTTCTATCTCTAAGTATTTGCCCACTTGGACATTTCATATAAATGGAATGATATGACATGTGGTCCTTGCAACTGGCTTCTTTCATTAGCACAATGTTTAAGAGAACCACCATTTCTAAGGAAACAGAAAAAAGGTTGTTATGGAAAAAACACACATTCTTTTGATTTTTAAGGTTTATGTTTTTTTTTATAGTAAGCTGGCTTCCTATTTACATAATGAACACAAGTATTCCTCTCTTCTCCTTTCTAATACTCCATGATAATAATAGTACAATAATAAAATACAGATGATAAACTCGCAACAAAGAGAAAATATGTGGAAGGGCCACTGGAGGGGCAATTTTCAGAAAATGGAAAGTGGCCCCGGCTGGTGTCGCTCTGGGGACTGAGTACCAGCCTGCAAGCTGAAGGGTTACTGGTTCAACTCCTGGTCAAGCCACATGCCTGGTTTGCAGGTCAGGTCCTGGTTGGGGCCATGCGAGAGGCAACTGATCAATGTATCTCTCATACATTCATGTTTCTGTCCCTCTCTTTCTCCCTTCCTTCCTTCCTCTCTCTAAAAGTAAATAAACAAAATCTTTAATAAAAATATAAAATGGAGAGTGGACAGAAGGGAGAGGACACACAGCCTTGGAAGTCCTGAGGAGGGGCTATAGTGGAGGAGGGAACAGAATGTCCCAGCAGCCCAGAGATGGGGGTCCCTGTGAAGGGGGGACAGGGCAACCAGGGATCAAGACAGGGTTATAAATGCAAGTCCTGTGCATGGACTAGCTGGCCTTCTCCGTCCCCCACCCCATCCCAGAGCAAAACTGCCTATGGCCAGGCATCTCCCCAGGCAAAAATTTTAAAAGTAGATAGGGTCTTTCTAGAGAAATGCCACGGATTTTCTGTTGAGAACCAAGATAACTGGTGTGTGCGCACATACATGTAAGTGCATGAGAGTAAAGCCTTCCTCATTCGGGCACTGAGGGTAGGTACCCCCCATATTAAAGCCACTCTCCATTCAGCTCACCCTGAGGTAGAACCTGCCTGCCAGCAAGCCCCATCTATACTCAAAAAGTTCTTACTGGCATTTCAATCGCTTTCTCCTTAAACATGACGTACAACCAAGGATCACTATGTATTTGAGGAAAGCCTACAATATAAGACAAGATCGAGATAAGCAAGAAGGAAAAAAATGACCCTATTGGAAATAGAAGTTTAAAACAAAACTAAACCTGTAATTAAGTATCACTGAATAAATTAAAGAAGCTGCTACATTAAAAGAAAAAAAGAGTTGTAAGAAAAAGAACATTCAGAGAACAAAAAAGAGGTCTTGGAAATGACTGAGTAAAAAAATCAAAAGGAATAAAATAAAATAATCAAGAAAATATAAGAGACATATAGGGTCAGTTTAAATAGCTTAATCGCTAATATGAGTTCAGGAAGGAAAAAGATGAGGGTAAATTTTCAAAGAAATACAGGATAGACATCTTCCTACAGCTGAAGGCTGCAAGCCACCAAAATGCCCAACCAGGAAACAAATGACTATATATAGTCACAGCACCATGGAAATTCAGAGCACTGGAGATTAAGAGAAGATCCTCAAAGCTTCCAGGAAAAAAAAATGAATCACTTCAAAAGGGTCAAACTTCCAGACTGGCTGCTGACTCTCACATCTGCAACTCTGGATGCTAGAGCACACGGCCTTCAAAGTCTTGATGGAAAACAAACTATACACCCAACCAAACTATCATATGGTATGAGGACAGAAAGTAATTTTTGGAAAGTTTACCTCCAACATAGGCTTTTTTGAGAGTGACTTAAGCATGCAGTTGAACAGCATGGCAGAGCAAAACAAGGACATGATGACACGGAACTGGAAAAGGGGGCCAAATCCAAGGAAGAGTGAGGCAGTGTCTCCAGACAACAGCTGTGTGGAGTCTCAGTCCAGACTGAGAGGGTGTGCAGCCCTGGGAAGGGGGAACTGAGCAGGATGGAGAGCTGGGAGAAACCTGAGAACGCGGTTAGGAAAACAGGTAGGTAGAGGGTAAAACAGGAAAGTACACTTGAAATGGACTTGCATTGGAAACAGTCTCCACTGAGAGACACAGTTTGTACACGGGATACATAAAGATGCTGGTGCAATGTATGGTATGAACACTTATACAGAATAATGTATAAGTGTTGTTTATTTTAACTTTAAATAAATAAACCCCCAAAGATGGAATGGGTATTGCAGAAGAGAATACAAATATTATTAATGTAGACTCTTAATATATTAATGTTTCTCTCCCTGCCCCATTGCCTTGATTTAAAAGACATAATCACTCCAAAGGAGAAAAGCCTGTTGTTCCCCCTGAGATCCCACCTGTATACTTGAGGCTTTAAGCACCTGGGCAGCTCACACAGGTGAGGACCAAGTGAAGGGCAGCAAACCTGCCAACCTGCTACTTTCCATTCCCCTAAAGAAAGCTGATAAGCAGCAGCTCTTGGGTCTTCAGCTCCTACTGGTTCACACAATGAGCTGGGAACCCCAGAATTTCAGGAAGGAAGTGCAACCTCCGCTTCCGCCATCTCCATGCCCATACCTCCCAAGAAGCCAGGAGTCTGAGCTGTAGCTATCAGCATTGCCAAAAGGGAACCCCTGGCTGCCAGTGCTTGGGGGAGACACCAAGAAGCAACAATAGTAAGTGACAACCACCTGCCCCACAAGTGGCCTGGTTGGGCTCATTTCCTCTGACTGATGATCCACTCCCCTCTCTTACCAGAGAGATGCCACTTGTCACTCGTCCCCATCAACTGAGGCAGACCACCTCAGCAGATATGCTCCAGAAACCCAATCATATGGTCCAACAAACCTTCTTCTGGGTATATAACCCCCAAAAATGAAATCTATCTCAAAGAGTTATCTGTATTCCCAGTTCACTGCAGCATTATTCACAATAGCCAAGACATGGAAACAACCTAAGTGTCTGACAAAGGATGAATTGATAAAGAAATCGTTGTGTCTATATACAATGGAATGTTATTCAGCCTTAAAAAAGGACACCCTGCCATTTGCAACAACATGGGTGAACCTGGAGGGCACTGTGCTAAGTGAAATAATCCAGACACAGAAAGAAAAAAAACCTGCATGATCTCACTGATGTGTAGGATCTTTAAAAATCAGCCCTGGCTGGCGTAGCTCAGTGGATTGAGCGCGGGCTGCGAACCAAAGTGTCGCAGGTTCGATTCCCAGTCGGGGTACATGCCTGGGTTGCAGGCCATGACCCCCAGCAACCCCACATTGATGTTTCTCTCTCTCTCTTTCTCCCTCCATTCCCTCTCTAAAAATAAATAAATAAATAAAATCTTTTTAAAAATCAAGCACATAGATAATCAAATACATGAGTATTAGGGTGGTTACTAGGGGCAGAGAGGTGGGAAAATGGTCAGATGTTACGTAGGATGAATGAGTCCAGAGATCTAATGTACAGCAGGGCTCCTACAATTCATATTATTGAATCCTGGAAATTTACTAAGAGAAGAGATTTTGTGTACTCTCATCACATACACACATACAAAAAGGTAATTATGGGAGAAGATGTGTCAATTAGTACCCAAGATTCCAATACCTTGGCCTTGGGAACTCTCCTACATTCCAAACACTAGTTAAATAAGACTGGAATGCTTTGCTGGACAGCTTTACAGAAAAGAGGAGAGTTTGTTCAACTATTTCGCAAGTTGATTAGTAAAAATAAACTTTCAATGTAATTCTTATATAGATGGGAAGAGGGCACAGAAACTCCAACAAGAGTTCATTCCACAGGCTGCAGGAGTGGCACCAGTACACACGTCTCTACCGATTCTGACGTAACAATTAAGGCGTGTATTAGCAAAGGTTTTTAAAACTGCAAGGCTGGATGCCAGACTAGTCTCCATAGTTATCTTTTATGGGGGGTCTGATTACAGGGTTCATAAACTTTCTATTTCGGGAATTTTTGTAAAGTCTGAATTTCACAATCAGTGAAACTTCAAGTAGTTCATAACGAATTCACTCATTATAATGAAGGAGTTTACCATCCTTTGTTTCCTACAAATGTTTTATAATCCAGCAGTGCAGTATAGTAATATTTTTAAGTTGGCATTTGTTAGCTTTCCATTTGTTTTAAAGATTTTATACCCTCAATGACTGAAGCTACGACACATCAAAAGATCAATACAATCTCTATAAAATCAGTGTCTATTTATTGTAATTAAGAGCCTGATCTTAACAGTGAAGCATCTGAAAACAGTGTCTCAGGTATGACAGATTTTGGTTAACAAAGGTTCCCTCTTTCTGTACCAAACAGCAACAGTAATTTGATCAAGTAAATGTTCATATAAAGGATAACTAATATCTTTTTTCAACCAAGAGTATATAATCTCTTTCATTTCATTTTTTTAACAATTTCTATATATGCTTAAAATCAAGTATACTGGAGAAAAAAAAACATATCAATGGATCCAACTCATTGTTCTAAAAACTGGTAAATGAAAACAAAGAACTGAATATATATCTTCTCTCTCCCTTATAAACTGGCTTTTAAAAAAACAAAACTGTACCTACCTCTGGCGAAAAGGAGTCCAACAATGCCAGCAAACCCAATAACACCAAGTCTTGGAAAAAATCCAGGAGGTGCATTTTGGAGATATTCATAGCTGTCTACAATAGAATCAGACAAGGAAACAGTTCCATAAATTGCTCATTAAAGACACAAAACAAATCTTAAAGTCTAACTAGTACTTGTAGTATCAAATGCTTTTCAAATAATGTATTCTTGGCTTTTGGCTAACATGCTTCTTTTCAACACATTCTTTGTACGTGATAAACATGATTTACTATTCACATAGCAAGTATCCAATTTCCAAACACTTCTGGTCTGACATCCTACTGACAGTACAGTAATGTTAGATTACCTTCATATTCCTAAAGGCTACAGGCGTGAATCAGCTATTCACACAGGGAAAAATACAAACACAGGGATCCCTTGCTATCCAAACTCCTGTTATCCCAACACAGAAACACAAAACACATGCAGACCTTGGAGATACTGAGGGTTTGGTTTCAGACCACCACAATAAAGCGAGTCACATGAATTTTTTGGTTTCCCAGTGCATATAGAAGTTATGTTTCTGCTGTGGTGCAGTCTATTAAGTGTGCATTATGTCTAAAAGAGCAATGTAGATACCTTAAGTAAAACGTATTTTATTGCTAAAGAATGCTAACCACCATCTGAGCCTGTTGGAAAATTTGGTGCTGACAGACCTGTTCAGTGCAGGGTTGCCACAAAGCTCCAACTTGTAAAAAAGAAAATTTTTTTTCAATAAAGCAAAGCACAAAAAAATGAGGTATGCCTGGATATTTGGCTAAATCTATCGCTCTCAGAAGCGTTGCTGCCTGTTCTCTGATGCTCAGCAACCAAATACATTAAACTCAAGGAAAAAAATTATTTTTTGTCATCTGAGCTCATTATTCAAACCCAAGAACAGAATAAATTTGGATAATGAAGGGAACTTGTAGCACAAGTGTATGTGGGGAAATAGTCACTGTTGGTAGTGGTAAAATAAATAAAAATAAAAGCAACACGTGAGCCTCTCTGCCATGACTGAACATGCCTTATACCTCATTCGCATGATCACACATCTCCTCTCCACTGAGCCAATCCCCCCAAATAACAGCCAGTTTAAGCCCTAATTCCTCAGAAAAGCTTTTCCTATGTTCATCAGCTCATAGCTCTCTTCCTCCTCTAAAGTCCCATCATATTTATTCTCTGTACCATAACTGGGTATCTACTCCTATAGCAGCACCTTGTTTAATTAAGGAGGGGTGTGTTTTATGTCTCCGCAAGGAGAATATACACTCCTTAATGGTGCACTGCCCAGACTTCTATGCTGCTTTCCTCGGTGGTAACAGTGGATGTTCATTCAACAGGTCATTAATTAAAAGTACTACTAGGAGTTAATGAATACTGAGTGAATTAACAAATGGTTTTTAGCTAGGTCATGACTTAAAAAGCCTCATATCTCTTCCTCAACCCCATCTTCAACGGTCTGCTTCCAGTTCCCGGCACATGCAACACTGAGTTGTATATCCAAGCCTTGGTGGTGCCGTGCCCTCTGTGTGGCCACCTTTGTTTCTTCAGTATTTATCTCAGAAATCTCTCCCTGACTGTTCCCATCTTCCCAGTATCTATTAAACTAGTCTTCTCCCTCTGTACCTTTGAGAGTGGTCTGTGATTATCTCTGTGTTTGTGCTAATATTGAATAATTTATAATACACAGCAGTGGTTGGGACCACTGTCGTAATCAGCCTCAATCTTCAATGCTTGTCATTATAACTTACGTGGAACTGAAGTAATTGTAATACTCAGTAATTCTCTCTCCCAGATAATACCAGACACATGTCAATTTTCCTTTTCCTGGGTTCTTTGAGAAATGTGGTGATCATTTTAAATACTACTATCGGGCTTGTGTTGTTGGTATTAATTCCTGACTAGCCTTTCACTTACTTTGCCTTTAACCTTAATTTTCTATCTTCTACACTGGCTGGTGTGACTCAGTGGACTGAGCGCCAGCCTGTGAACCAAAGGGTCACCAGTTTGATTCCCAGTCAAGGCACATGCCTAGGTTGTGGACCAGGTCCCCATTTGGGGGCATGCACGAGGCAATGGATATCTCTCACACATATATGCTTCTCTCCCTCTCTTTCCCCCTCCCTTCCCCTCTCTCTAAAAATAAAAATAAATAAAATCTTCTAAAAACAATTTTTGTAAAGATATTAGTTATTAACATACATGAATAATTTAAAGAACCAGTAGGCTATTAATATGTCTGTCTTCAAACAAAAAATTTCTTTATCTGGTAGTTTCAGGGCTATCAGCTCATCAATACCCTATGATAATCTTTGCAAAGAAATAAACTATACTCCTTTTATTTTCTTCCGTCATGGAAGCAAACACTTATAAAAATAAGAGTTTAATTTGTTGAGATGCCCAATAAAGGGAATGAAATATGTTAGCACTTCCTGGTGAGATTAGTCAACACATACACTGTGAATGAGTCTATGTGATAAGTGATTATGAAAAACAATCAAGGACAATAAAAACCAATGAAGGAAGCTTTCTTGAGCAAGCCAGGGCCTTTCCCCGCCCCCTTCTTTCCCCAGGGCAAGTCTCATAGTATGAGTCTGTGTCTGCTGTTGTCTTTCTGTCTGTCCCCCCTCCCTCCCTCCATCCACACACACCTTTCTGCTCCTCCTTCCCCCAGGTGCTTTCTCTCTGCCTTTCTTTTTCCTAAACTCCAAGGGCCCTTCTTTTGCCTCTGTGTCTCCTTTCCTGAGCCCACAGAGCTCAGCTGGCTCACCTTTGCTACCTGTGACTTTCTAAATAGACTTTCTCTTATAAAATGAACAAATAAAAAAAATAAAAACCAATGAAAGATGTAAAAACACTACTAACTGTGCAACAAGGCCTTTCCTAGGCACACCAACCCAGTTCCTTCCTACCTTTAAACTTCTATAAAATGTATTAAGACCTGTGCATAAGAGCTCTCCTGATTCTGAAAAACTATTGATGAGTTAGTGTAGGTTAGCGTGAGTTAGGGGCCTTGTACCTAGAATAAATTTAAAGGAAAAAATACAGGAAATCTGTACTTGCTAGCCCAACAATCCCAATGATGTTGAAGAGACTTACCTGAGTATTTTGGGGTACTAACCCTCTGAAATCTGATGAAAATAATAGATCATCTTTCCAGAAAAAAATCTATATAGTTCTAAGATTCTGCATACAATTTTAAGGAATTCACAGCTCTCCTTGAAACCCATCCATGGAACCCGTTAAAGAGTCCAATGTAAATGAAGAAACAGATTTTACATCATTAAAAACCAACTTACCTAACCCCCACTGAACCAAACTTTGCATCTTGGGCTCAGTTTGGGAGTATATTTCCTAAAAAGGTGAAAAGAAAATGAATGAGTAGGATTTGCTGATTAAAAAGTAACAGTAAATATATTTGTCTTTACTTAATAAATTATGTTATTAACACTTTTTGAACAAAGATTTACTGTCGATCTGGACTTTTTGTGTTTTTATTATCTTTTGTAATTTCCCCTTCACCACAAATTGCTTAGCAGAATGGCTTATGACTGCCACAGGAAGCAAAGATTTCAAGTGGAGTGGTTTCAACAACCCAGCCTCTTCATTTGCTATTAACGTACAAGAGAATGGACAAAAATCAGTCCCTTGATAATTAAAGCAGCAATCCTTTCCCTGTGAAATGAAATCTGTCTTTCATGTTAAGTCTAATTCCTGATTTGCCATGACTTTAGAGCCTATATCTAAAGAACTGCCCATCTGAAGCAAGAATGACTAGCTTTAATGGGACAAAAGAAGTCTATATCTAAGTTTGGAAAGACACTTATCCTAGTCCTAAAGCAAGTGAAGTATTGACATTCTCTTAACAACAACAATAACAAAAAAGCTTTACACATGAATGTCAGATGATCCTAAAGAAAACAAAGAACTAGCTAGAAGCTATGCACCTGCAAGAAGTCTACAGTGAAGATGCGAAAAGAGATGCGTGGGTATCAGAAGGCATCAGAACCAGTTGCCACATGGAAAAGGATTTTTAAATATAATTTAGCGCAAGTCAAAACAAATGATCCTAACACTGTTAAATGGGCCTAAATAAGATATGTTAAATTTGGAAGAGGACATAAAAACATAAAATGACGACCCTGGCTGGTGTGGCTCAATAGATTGAGTGCTGGTGTGAGAACCAAAGGGTCACTGGTTCCATTCCCAGTCAGGGCACATGCCTGGGCTGTGGGCCAGGTCCTCAGTGGGGGGCATGTAGGAGGCAACCACACACTGATGTTTCTCTCCCTCTCTTTCTCCCTCCATTCCCTTCTCTAAAAATAAATAAAATCTTTTTTAAAGAAGAAAGAAGAAAAGAAAAGCTATGGATCAACGTCTAGAGTGACTGCCCACTTCTTTTTGCTGCATAATCTTTTTACTATAAAGAAAAATTAAATTAGTTCTTGAAGAAATGGAACAGAAATTGTTGGCCTGAAAAACAAGCCAAGAATTAAAAATATTTCTATTCATGAAGACTTTATTCTATAGAAAAATGAAACCATCATAACAAAAAGTATTTAGAAGTACTCCAAATAAACGTGTTGATAACCATTCTAGTGCAAATAAATGGTTGATAACCATTATATCATCTAGAGAGGTATTTTGCTGCACTGAGGACTGTGCACAGATGAAAAAGTAAAAAACAAAAAGCAACCGTAGGCTGAAAGCTAAAGAGACAAAATACTTTCATAACCAAACAGAGAGAGAGAGAAACAACAATAGTCACGCCTACATGATACAAAAATGTTTGCCAACCTTATCTTTTTTTCTAAGATTTTATTTATTTATTTTTAGAGAGAGGGGAAAGGAAGGAGAAAGAGAGGGAGAGAAACATCAATGTGTGGCTGCCTCTCGTATGGCCCCTACCAAGGACCTGGCCCACAACTCAGGCATGTGCCCTGAGTGGGAATCAAACCAGTGCCATGTTAGTTTGCAGACCTGCACTCAATCCAATGAGGAACACCAACCAGGCCTGCTGACCTTATCCTAACCACTAAGCAAATGGTTTAAAAATCTTCTAGAACAGCCATGTCTGGTGTGGCTCAGTGGATTGAGTGCCAGCCTGTGAACTGAAAGGTTACTGACTTGTTTGATACCTAGTCAGGGCACATGCCTGGGTTGCAGACCAGGACTCCAGGTGGGCATGTGTGAGACACAAGTGATTGATGTTTCTCTCCCTTTCTACCTCCCTTCCCCTCTCTCTAGAAATAAATAACATCTTTTTTTAAAAATATTTTATTTATTTATTTTTAGAGAGGGAAGGGAGGGAGAAAGAAAGAGAGAGAAACATCAATGTGCGGTTGCTGGGGGTCATGGCCTGCAACCCAGGCATGTACCCCGACTGGGAATCGAATCTGCCACACTTTGGTTCACAGCCCGCGCTCAATCCACTGAGCTATGCCAGCCAGGGCCAAGAAATAAATAACATCTTTAAAAAAATCTTCTAGAACAAGAGGATAAAGTCTAAGTGTTTTACAATACAATATAGTCTTCAGGTATTTCATAACTCAATAATATGATTATAATATTTATGTATAATAGCATAATTTATATTGTTGATAGAGCCTATGCTTACTATTTTCTTTCTAAGTTGGTTCAGCAGTGACATAAAGTAAAAATTTTTAAATAAGTTCCGGATGAAAATTGAGTTTGTAAGTCTCAAGCAAAGTAAATGTAAACCATGTCACACACACATCTACATACTTTTTACTAATTTTCATCAGTTTTCAAAACCAAGATCAAGTACAGCAAATACATGTATCATGGCGCAAGGAAGCATTCTGCAGACTGTAAACTTCGGTTTCAGATGTTAAAAATGACAGAAATGCCTTCCTGAAACACAAAGGCTGATCTAAAACCTGAGTAGTGACAGAAGCCAATCTGTATAAGCAGTTCTTGGATTACTGGGGCAAATAGTTCAGTACTCAAATATGTAATTCCAACCTTTTTTTAGTTATTTACCCTCCTATTGTAGCATTCAAAATGCTCTGTAACAATTACTATCTAAAGTGGTACTGATTTGTAGAATCTCTGGCGGGTGGCAGCGGGAACAGGGGACTTCCCAATTTTGACATAAATGGTTACATTGTGTCCTTTTCCTTCCTCTAGACAATAGTGTTTTCATAGCTGTGACCAACAAGATACTTACCAGCCTTCCACTCCCTGGTCATGGTGCTAGACCTACCCAGTGGGAGGGAAATTCTCTGTGCAGCTCTGGCAACAGGAACCACCAGGTAGCCGGGGCTCTCTGCCCAACCACGCCCCCTCAGATGGTACCATGAGCATTTATAAGTTGGGCACTCTTAGGTTGGGGCCCTTTATCATGCCTTTCTCTGAAAACATACAGCCGATACAGACTTCTCACTACTGACTCTAAACAGGAATGCATTCACTCCATTTTCAGAAGAGTAGTACCTGACACCGGCTGGTATATGGCTCACAATAGTGTCGGAGGTGTGAGATGCTTTCTTCAAGCTGAGTCCTTGGTTCTTCCACATATTTAGATTGACCCTCGGGAACAGTGTACAGTGAAAGCTGCATACATTAAAAAACAAAACAAAAAAATAAAAATGTCTATACAGCAATTAGATAACATAATCAATGATCAAGTTTGTAAGCACTGTAATACAAATGAACTGCGATTCTAATAATTCATGAACTGCAGACACTCTAAGGGCTGTGTGCATCCTGTACCTTCTTCCTTCAGAGGATCTCTGCACCTTACTTACTACCTTTTTCTTTTAAAAAAGGCTTCCAACTTCTTTTTTTAAAAGAGTTTGTCTGTTTATTTTCAGAGAGATGGGAAGGGAGGGAGAACGAGAGGAAGAGAAACATCGATCCGTTGCCTCTCACACACCCTGAACCATGTCCTGACTAGGAATCAAACCAGTGACCTTTTGCTTTGCAGGACAATGCCCAACCCATTGAGCCATACTGGCCAGGGCACCTTATTTATTACTTAATCAATAAGGCCAAGAGGCCAAGAGGGCAAGGCTATGAGGTATTCTACCATCCACCTACCACCCTACTGGTAGCAGACAAAGCAGCTCCCCTTTATTTGTTATATATACTAAAATTTGGTATTTCCCCTTAGATTTCATTTGGATAATGAAGGATAATATTCATTTGGAAAAAGGATAATATTACTCTAAAGGGTGTGTTGGATTGGGGTTTTTTAAAAAAGCTTGAGCCCTGGCTGGTGTGGCTCAGTGGGTTGGGTGCCAGCCTGCAAACTGAAAGGTCACCAGTTTGATTCCTAGTCAGGGCATATATCTGGGTTGTAAGCCAGGTTGATGCCCAGGAATGGGGAGTCGGGGATGTGTGAGAGGTAGTCATTCGATGTCTCTCTCCCTCTTTCTCCCTCCCTTTCTGTCTCTCTAAAAGAAAATTAAAAAAAAAAAAAGCTTGAGAGTAACTGAAGAGCATGTTATGTATTTCAAATGATCAGTCTGCTGCTAACCAAACCAGGATAGCAGGTTCATTCCCCATCCAGAGAAGAAACCTTTCACAGCCACTAGTGGCTGCCTTCTTCACCCTCAAAAATGCCACTGCCCCAAGGCCTGAGAAGAAGAGAGTAAAGGGCAAAAAGATAAGCTAATTCGTTTTATGTAAACATGGTCAAGTAACCTTGCTTGTGACTGAAGGTAGACCCTTAGGTCACTTGACTCAGTCTGAACAGAAACCAAATATCCAAAATAATCCACTGCAAGTATAGACAAAAAGACTGTGAACAATGGAAAGACGATTTCTTGTTTTGTTTCTTTAGTATCCATTAATCATCTACTTGTGAGCCTCTAATCCGGCCAAGAAGCAGAATGAGGCCAGGTCTTTAATTTCTCAGGTAAAATGTACATGTTTTCTTGGCTTGATAAGCAGTCTAGAGTCAGGCAGATCACTCGGAAGCAAACTGCTTACATTCTACTGCAACACAGCGGATTCCTCACTAAAAATCTACGAAATATCATGTACCATTAACTAAAGTGTATCTGTTGAAAAAGCCAGTCTAGGAGCTTCCCACAAAATAAACCATAAGGAAATATATTTCCTCCTATTCAATATCCTCTAAAATGTCACGTCTTCCTGATACATAATCTGTATCCTTCCTATAGTAAGTAAATCAGATGTTCAAACTATTTCACAACATGAACAGCATGTTACCTCATCAACCTTCACGGAAGTTTTGTGAGGTGAGTCCTTCTTCTGTGATGCATAGACTTTGAAGGTGAGCAGACTCAGGCTGGCCGGCCCCACGGACCTCTGAATTACCTGAAACATAGAAGCAATCTTAAGCCTTCTTTCTCTCAATGCTACAAAATGAATGTGTACAACACGAGCACCTTCCTAACGTCAGCCACTCCTGCCCTGAGAGGGTGACTGTGCTTTTGGAGAAATAAATGTATTCCTGAAATTTCATGGAAGTCGGAACCTAAAAACCTTGTTCTCAGGGACTTAAAGTTTCAGGTCACCTTTATCTTAATTTCCCAAAGACAACAGTTTCTAAGTCTTTCTACTTAGCCTTTCAGATAAAATAAATGATATATACATATGAACATGCACCAACAACAGGGGAAGTTTTTAACGATCTCACTTAGTAATTCATTGAACAGAGTGCAGATTATTTCTGTAATTCTACTAATCAAACTTTCAGAAGGTCCCCCTTCCCATTCCCATCCAGAGCTGGTCTCCCCTGATCTCAGTTCCCAAACTCAGTGTCTCTCTGTGCCTTGCTGTCCCTGACTGGGAGTCACTCACATCTAGTGACTTGCAGATATAAAGCTCCAGCCCAGAGCTCTCTCCTGAGCTACCAATTCAGTCACCCTACGACTGCTGGACATGTCCACTTGGACGGGACACAGGCTCCCCAGATCAAGCATGTCCAAAACCGACTCATCAGGGTCGTGTCTGTGCCTCCAAGCGCACAGTAGGCCCGATGGGTGGATGTGCGCTGTGGAATCAAGTCAGAAAGCTTTTTCTCAATAATCCCCTACATTTACACAGCTCTTGACCACCTAGCATCTTTTCCCCAGCCCTGTCCCTCTTCCTCTACTTTCTCACCCACCTAGACAACCTAATCATAAACTCTGAGGTCATCCTTCACCACCATCCCCATTCTGTTGGTCATTAAATCCTCTTAATTCTGCCTATTAAATGATGGCAATTCACTCTCTCTTGCGATACCCTCCTGTACAGTTTTCCCTTGGGCCCCCATTTCTTTCTTAGATTATTTTAGCAGCATTCTAACTGCTCACCTGGCCTCTGATGACCACACTGTGAAAGAATGATCTTTGTAAACAACCACACCTGATTATCTTCTATCCTCATTTGAGATCCTTTGTAACTCATTACCCAGGACTTTCATGGGGGTCTAACAAGGCCTGTGAAAATCTCACCCCAACCACCTTCTCTAACCTCATCTCTCGATCATTCCGCCTTCTCCCACAAAACTTGAACTCCCTATGCTTCTCCCATGCTGCTTTCCAGCTTCATGGGTTCCCACACGCTGATTCCTCTGCCTAGAATGTTTTATACTTGCTTTGTCCTTCTGTGCCACTACCTAAGAGCATAGAGATTCACTGCTTTTCTTTTCTTATGTGTCCATTTATTTATGTCTATCAAGTTCTCCCTGTCAGATTGGAAGCCCTTTCAGGATAGGGCCATGTCCTACTTTGTATTCCTAGTGCCCAGGACTGCCCAGCATATAAGAAATGCCCAATCACTGTTTATTGCCTGCCTACATGGACAGAGGGAGGTGAAAAAGAAATTACTGACTTATTCTAAGTACTTATGCATGATTTAGCATCACAGAAATCATATTGCTGAGATTTGCAGTGTCTGCGATGTGAAAGACTGAGCTATTCTGCTATACTCACAAAACATAGATAAAACATAACTAAAGTGTCCATTGAAAAATACAGTATGCCTGGAGTCACACACACAAAAGGAAATTCCCATATTTCAGAAGCAACCAAAGAGCTAGAAGTTATTTTTAAAAAGTAGTTATTACTTTAACTGGTTTAAAAATAATTAACACACCCTGAAAGTATTACGTGTTCATCTTGGAAGGTTGTAATTTCAAAGAAATATTGCTAGACATTTCTTTTGCTTCCAGGGTAAAGGTCAGCCAGCTACTGCTGATGCAGTCAGTATGGTCCCTCCCTGCACCCCAGGAGAGGGCCTGTTAGGCCGCCGGTATCTGGAGATGTCAGCTCATGCTCTCTGCCCTCTAAGTCTGCCCACCAACAACTAATAATACTGCTTGAACTGGGGACTTTCTACTAAGCCAGCTGGCCCCACCCTGGACTTTGTTCCTGATTCCCTTCCTCATGGGCAATAGCTGGTGCCTGGCCCTTTTCTCACTCCTCACCCAGCACCGGAGCCTCCAAGCCTTTCAGGTTCATGTTGTCCCCTATCTTCATCCTCGTTTGATAGAACGCCTTATGTTGACCTTATTAAGTCTCTGCTTTCAATCATTATTCCTACCTATTTTCCACATATTTCATTTTTTCAATCTCATGGCCTTCTACTGTTTTAATTCAGATCTCTACTTTTTATGTTTTTAATGATTATTCTCCTGTTCATCTTTTCTTTTCAATCTTAGCTTATTTACTTTTAAAATATAACATTTTACTGGATTCTTGATTATTCACTTCTACTTTATTTTCCACTCTTTTCCATTTTTCTCCCTTTAACATTATGCTAAGCCTGCCCCTTTGTTGCCCAAGTTGTTTTCCTCTTCTTCCCTGTCTCCTGATAGTCTACCACACAAGCCCACCCTCACTCCTGCTCCACAGCAAGAATGCGGCCACAGGCCCATAGCGCCCAACAAAGCCCCCTCCTAAGGTTGCCCTTTCAGCTCCCTGCGGGCTCTCAACAAATAAACAAAACAAAGAGTAAAACAAACATCATCCCAGGGGATTTGGGAGATCCACAGACTAACACTCCCCAGGGCAAAGAGCACATGATTTACTTCAGGGTTTCTCAATCTTAGCACTGTTGACATTTGAGGCTGGATCGTTCTTTGTTGTCAGGCTGTCCTGTGCACTGTAGGAGGCTTAGCAGCACCCCTGGCCTGCACCCACTAGATGCCAGGAGCACCCCCTCCCGGTCATGAATCAAAAATGTCTTCAGACCCCGCCAAGTCTCCCAGGGGGTGTCTGCCAACCCCCATTTAGAAGCACTGATTTACTTGAATTAACATTATATGCTGACATCTCTCACCATCTAGACTTTAAGAAACTCTGTATGTTTCAAACTGTACAGCCTCAAAGCTCATACACAGTAATAGAAATCAAAATACTCGATGCTTGGGGATTAAGTGTGGAAGGGGAGGTAGACTTACTGAGAAGGGGGTAACAGAAATGATCTATATCTTGATTGGCATGTGGGTTACAGAAGGTATAAAGGACAGGTAGCACTGAATGCGTGAGGAAAACCACAGGAGGAGCCTGGGTAAAAGGTCCACAGGCAGACAAGCCTGATGCAGATGTGCTTCCCAATATCCTTGCTTTCCTTTCTGGCATCAAAGGGGGCTCTTCTTGGTGACAGTATCCCAATCTGCATTAGCCAGAACAGATGTTATCATGAATGGGAATTGTGGACACTGGACCCTGTCAGGTGGCTATCATAATTTGTGAGGGTTCATATTGAGTATTCAGGCTAACCCATTCAATATCAGAATTTAAAAAGAAAAAGGCTGTTAAAATGTGCAGAGATCATCCCCAGGTATGTATGAGGGCAAAAGAAGCATTTTCTTCAATCTTCTGTCTCCCCAAGGAAGTAAAAGAACACTAATCTGAAAGTTAAATGTTCTGAAGAAAGATTTAACCAACTTCCACGGTGTGGGTCATAATCACTGAAGCTCTGGCTTTATCACCTTCCTCCTGTGGGTACTCCTGTTGGGTTGTCGTGTAAAACACGAACAAAAAGCTGTTCTCTCCCCATGAGACCCATTATGGTACAACCAGATTGAAAGTACCTCTTGGGAAGTGAGAGCTCCCCCGGACCGTTTTTGAGGAAGGGCTGGAACCTCTACCATGCATATGCCTATGGCCTGAGCACACTCTGTCCCAAGCGACAGTCCTTGAGAATCCTTGTTTGCCAGGCTCACCTCTCTACCCAGGGCAGATGGCTTAGCTCAGAGAGTAGGTACATATGTACCTTTCAAGGGCTCAGTAGACATGTTCGACTTTGGATCAGAGGAGTTCAGCTTGCTAGATCAAAGTCAAGCCCACTATGTTAAGAGCTGCATCTTCAATGAGCACTAAGCTACAGCAACAGACTAAACTAGATCCAAAAGCTGTGCTGCTTTATTATGGAGCCTATCCTCTGGAGTGTACCCTTCAGTTATTAGATGCGACTCCCAGAATTCAGCTGGTTGGGGTCTCAAAGTAAGGACCCCATAGTCACAGAGAAAACTAAAATTTGGCTCAAACAAAGGTGAGCTGGTGACCTCATGGAAAGTGTCACTAAGTTCCCTGGCTCACATGGCTAAACTGTCTGTCTGATTCTACTCCCTAGCTAGGTATCTTATTCATATTCTCCCTATCAAGATATCATCTCCATCTTAGACCTTTGAACTCTCTCTCTCTCTGTCTTTCAATTTTTGTTTTACATAGTCCACAGGCACCTTCCCTGTCAATGGAAACTGAGCACCGGGATTGGCAGTTGTCCTTGTCTGGCAATAAAAGTGCACCGCCCAGAATTCTGGTCCAGAACTCCAGGACCTCTTTCTCATTGTGTCCCAGTAAAACGGCTTTAAAGACAAAATCTTCAGGCTATTTAAGCTACCCTCAAGGATGTTTAATAATGATGGGTCTCAAAACCCTGAAAACTGGCTTTGTTTTTCAACTTTATGGAGAATCCAGTATCTAGTCGCTCCCATTTTTAAGAAGGGTGACACTTTATTCTCCCACAATTATGGATCTATTGCCTCATTAAGACCTTCCATTTAAAATATATACCAGCTTTCCCTTGGCTGGTGTGGCTCAGTGGATTGAGCATCAGCCTGTGAACCAAAAGGTCGCCAGTCCAATTCCCAATCAGGGCACATGCCTGGGTTATAGGCCAGGTTCCCAGTTGAGAGTGTGCAAGAGGCAACCAGTCGATGTATCTCTCACACATCAATGTTTCTCTCCCACTCTTTCTCCCCTCCTTCCCATCTCTCTAAAAATAAATAAATAAAATACTTAAGAAAATATATATACCAGTTTCCTTTTTGATAAAATGTAAGCTTTACAGGCCTGTGTACACAAGGTTTCAAAATCACTTGGGAGTTT